ACTGCAATTGCCATTAGTCTGATCAGAACAAAGTCACAGCAGGGTCCAGCATAAAAGTTATTAAAAACCATATTGTGCACAGCTCTGCGCTATTAAATAAATAATACAGTTCAAAAACTCTGTACAGGTCATTGTTATTTATCATGCTCAGGCACCTTGCTTCATCAATCTATAGATCATAAAATAAAATATTATCTCCCAAAACAAAGGCTTATCCTGAAAACAGAAAAACTGGATTTGTTCCTGTTGCTTAGCCTAATACTGCATCTAATTAAGAAGGTGTTAAGGAATCTAATAAATTAGTAATAAGCAAGAGAATATGTGTCTGCAACTTCAATATTTCAATATTTTTGCCTAAAGAAATCATTATGTCTGTGTCTAAGAGTACCTACTGTAACACTTGAGTCACACACTTTAAGTCAGGGAATACATTTTTCACTTATATCACTAAATATAATCCAACATATTAATATCTCAATTTCTGCTGCGCTACACTAGTACTTTAATTTAACATTAGGTTATACATAGTAGAATGGAAAAAACATGATTACTGTTTCACCTACTGTATAATTCAATATAAATTCAAACTACTAGGCAGAGAACAGAGAAAAAGATACTGCATGGACAATAGATACTGCAAAAAACTGTAGGCCAAGCATGGAACCTTGAGGTATCCCTAGAACTAATGCTAATTCCTTAATGCACCTTACTACCCGATCACAGATTCTAATCACTGATTCTAATTTAATCAAACTTGCACTCAAAAAGTAGCACTTGTAAAGTATGCATGTCCAGCTCAACTTTGTTATAGCAATATGATTATGTTTTAAGATCATGTAACACAAATCCTTAAACTTTGTCATTGCTTAGAAGTAACTAACGGAAACAGACACGTTTGCTCACAAGCTTGAGAATTTGAGAAAGTCAGAGTCAGGTGGAGATAGCCTTAGAGGATAGATGCATGAGGCTGATGGAGAATGCCAAAACTGAATGACAACAGGTGGAGATTGAGGACGCAGAATGGAGACTGGGTTCAGACAGGAGTGGAAAGCAAGTGCAGCTTTCAGGGTTAATGTAGACTGGGAACTGCACCACTGTATGGAAATTCTGGCAGAGAACCATGCCACTGGTCCAATGTTGACAAGGCAACTAGCTGTTGACAGGCAGAACATGTTCAGGACAGGCTAGGAATCTTTAGGCCTGATTCAGGCAGAGCAGCCACACACTTTGTTCACGCCTCAGGGGTGGAGAAGCCCTCAGGTGATGGTTAGCCGTCCATTTCTGCTACTCTTTGGCTTTTTGGAGGTTGGTTCTCATGATCCCTCACACCCCTTCAGGTCTCAGGTGGACCTGTCAGCTGGGACTGGCACTGAAAATGGAGATACCTGTTGATGTGTTTATAATGACGTTCCCGGACAACTTGGCCCAGGGAGAGGAGGAGCCCAGTCACCCTGAAAGCCAAAATATGGCATTGTAGGTATGCTTCTGGGTCTTGGCTCACCTGCTCCATTTAGACATTCATTTCAGGGTGATATCCAGAGGACATGTCGATTCGTATGACCAGCTGTCGGCAGAAGGTCTGGCTGAATCTGGAGGCAAACTGGGGGCCTCGGCCGGAGACAAAGGATGTTGGGAATCCGTGGAGCCAGAACACTTCCTTGATGAAGACCATCTGGGGGGTGGATGGTAACCAAGGAAGAGGAATGTGAGGCTTTGGAAAAGTGATTGATGATGGTCAGAATGATAAAGTGGACTGGAAAGCGGGGCAGACCAGTTATGAAGTTCATGAAGATGGATTGTCATGGACATTCAGGTACTTGCAGGGGAGTCCTTGGCTCAGCTACTAGTTGAATAGGCTGCCAAATTTGCTTCCGCATCTGCCCTCATGGAAGACCATCAGAAGTGGTGGCACATCAGTTCCAGGAAGCGCTCTCAGGTCTGTTTTTGAGAAGATGGAGGCCTGGCTGGCCCCCTCCAGCAGTGATGGAATCAGAGGCGGGTATACTGGTTCTTCTTCTTAATCTTAGTTAGCCCCATGAAGTTAATACAGGGGTGGCAAGATCCATCCTTTTTCAGAATGACAGGTGACAGGCTCTGACAGGCGATGTCACCTGAAGAGATGAAGATGGGCAGATGAAGCCCATCCGCAGGTTTTCTTTAATGTACTCATTCATTGCCTTGGTTTCCGGAGCAGAGAGGGCATATATGTGTCATCTTGGTGGTGTGGTTTGGGATAGGAGGTTAATGGGGCAGACTTAGTCCCTATGCTTCTGGAGTGTCTGTGCTATCTTTTAGCTGAAGACATCAGCCAGGTCATGGTACACCTCTGGAAGACCAGAGGTGTCAAGGTCCACGGCAGCAGGTAGAGGCAGAGAGGCGAGGCAGTGGATTTGATGGTAGGGATCTAAATAAGAAACACCTTGGAGGATCAGTCCAGGTATGGGTTTTTAGTCAGGAGTCAAGGGAACCCCAAAACCAGAAGGCAGCACAGAGACAGAATGCACAGAAAGCAGATGGTTTCCCACTGCAGCATGCCAACCATCAGGGTCAAGGCAATGGTTCTCTTCAGGATGTATCCTGGGCCAAGGGGTCTCCACCTCAATGCCTCTACTGACAGTCTGGTTCGTAGAGAATCAGGATATGCCAAATCATTGAACCATGTGCAGGTCAAGGAAGTTGCCTGCTGCAATTGATTTAATGAAGGTGTCAAGTGGATTGATGATAGATAACTAGGAAAGCATCAGAGGAAGCATGTCACTGTGTGAGAGGCATATACTGGGCAGTACAGGTGCCAGTGCACCTCCTATCTGCAACTTGAGAAGAGGCCTTCTTGTTGGCAATGGAAGTGTTCAGCAGGTGAGACCAGGATTCTGCCCACTTGCATCGGCTCTCTGTCAGCTCCCGCGGGTCCCTCTGGAGTCTGGTGTGGAGGCTGAGGGCACCAAGGGTTCCATGTGAAACCCTCCATTGCATCTCCAGTCTGTACTCCAGTCTGTACCCAGGGGGGAAATCCGGGGTGAAGTCCAAGGTCCAAAACCGGGTGATCCATCCGAGACTAAACAAGACAAGGTTAAAAACCGGAACGGGATCCAGTACAGGGACAGGGATTAAAAACAAGATGAAAAGGCCAGATGCTCCAAGCCCCGGACTATGCTATATGTTCTCGGGTCGGTCCTGGATCTGCTGGTAGGCGGGCTTCCAGGCGTCCATCTCCCAGTGTTGTCCAGGATAGTGAGAGCACCAGGCTTAAATAAGGAGGGGCAGGATAAGGGGCATTAAATTGGGTAAAATATGAAAGAGCCGCAGTGCCTTTAAGAGGAGGGATTAAGATCTTGACAGGAAGCCTCTGCCGCTATCAGGATCCCACAAGAACGGAAGGGTAGGATGCATCTGTAGCTCTATGAAGTGGGACACTGGCACAGGAACAGGGGCTGGATGAGAATTAGGAGCCCGGACAGAAATGGAAGCAGGAGCTTTGGCAGTGGCAATGGTCTGCATCATATCCTGCATCAGAGCTCACAGGTCCTGTACAGCACCCTTTAGTTTTGTTGCACTGGCCTACTGTGCCTGCAGGGCTGTCTCATGGTGAGCCATGATGTGGGGCATGTCACTGGACTCTGCTGGATTCAATTCAGATCTTGGCTTTGTCAGTCTGTTATGATGGTGCTAGCTGATGGAAACAGCTACGTATTGCTGACAGGCTGGGGAATCCAAGCACAATAACCCAGTGAGGGCTTGTGAAAAAAGTCTGAGGTAGGTGGTGGTAGCCAAAGTGGATAGGTGGATGGAGGCTAATGGAGATTGCCAAAGCAGAATGATGACAGGCAGAGATTGAGGAAGAAAAATGGAGACCAGATTAAGACAGTAGTGGAAAGCGAATGCAGCTCTCTGGATGAATGTTGACAGAGGGCTGAGCTGCTGTATAAATATTCTAGCACAGAACCATGCCACTGGTCCAGTGCTGGCAAGGCAACTGGCTGCTGACAGGCAGAATAGGTTCAAGTCAGACTAGGAATCTTTGGGGCAGATTTAGGCATTATCCTTCAGTGATGCAGTATTGCTGACTGCACTACCTAGGTTGGAAATGAAACACCTGTTAGTTGTTCAGAGAAAGCTGGGACAATTGAAAGATTCTGAATAGGCCCAGGTGGAATTTGGTTCCTTGAGGGAATGTACGTTGTTTTTTGAGGAAACCGAGGGCTGAGAGCTCTGCCCCACATGGGCATAACATTAGAATAGAAAGATATGGTTTATCATCATTAAAAAAATAAAACATTTAATATTATCCTTGCAATATTTCCAGCATTTACTTAAAGTACAATACCAAATTCATCTTTTAAGCTTTTTGATTATTCCGTTGACATACAGTTAAATATTTTTCCCTACATTACTGGTCACCGTCTGTATAATTTGTAAGGGGCACTTGAACTTAAAATTTCTTAGATTAACACAGTAAATAAAAAAAATCTTGGATACGATGCATTCCTGCTATGCCTTGGTTACTTAACTCCATCTAATGGAGAAGGTCTGAGAGTCTAAAAGCTTTTTAAAAGCAAAATCCAAGCAATATACTGTATGAATATATGAATAATGCAATCATTATAAATATAAGAAAGATACCCTTTCAAATAATATTTATTCATATGCCCAAAATACCAGCAGGCTCAATGTCAGGTATTTTATTTAGACATGCGTGTTACAGTAAAGGAAGAGATAAGAAAGAGATTACTGTATGGGCCAAAAACAGGGATTTCAATTTGCTTTAAATAATCTTTCTCAGTGTTGATTCCCTAAATACAGAGAATCATACAAAGTTAAGAAAACGGTTTACATACACATTAATAATAAAAAGTAATTAATGCCAAAACTTCTGTGAGACTAACATAGCAGGAGGACATTTTAACAGGCTTTCAGCACTTCACAGTATTTCTAGAAGGTGTTATCTCCCCGAACACGAATAATTACAGAGGAGCTATTTATAAGAAGACAGAAGAACTCACCTCTTTCTGACGGTACTTAATTGCTAGCTTTAATCTTGCCAGATCGTTATTGTTCTCATCTTCCAGCAGGTTCGTATCATCCCGGAAATTCAGAATCATTTCTAATTCTCTTGAGCTCCTTGTCTGATCCAGGAGGTCCTTGGCAAACTGTTTGCACTGATGGGAGAGCTCCTCGTACTCCGATTTGAACTCATTTTCCACTTTGCTGAGCTCCTGCAGCTCCCAGCTCAGCTGGAAGGCCGTGAGAAAGGGATCTTCGCTGGAGAGGGCGATTAAAGAAGGACTGGCCAGGGCCTTATAGATATTGAGCCGGGAACGTGAGTGGCGTAGGCTGTCAACATCTGAGCTGGAGACACACTCCACACAGTTGCACCGCACTTCATGCGGCTGGGGCACAGAAACCCCCTTCTGTACCAATAGCTTTATTATCTCATAGTTATTGGTGTGCGCAGCCAAAATGATGGGGGTAATGTCAGGTGTAAAATCCGAAAACTGCTTGTCCAAAAGTATTGGTGGAACCTGTAAAAAGAAACAAAATAGATATAAGGGTAGTTATCCCCTAGGAAACTCAATAACACAGGCTATTGACATCCTTTGTTGTTCCAGGACAAGTTCTGTGTTTTGAATATATAGCAGCAAGGATGTGCTGCAAGGGCTCTTCAGCAGCATTTGTGGACTAGAAAAGGAACCATGGACTTATGAGTTGTGAATGACATTATTTTAACCTTACATATTTTGCAGGACACTGCATAATGAAAATTGGGATGTGAGCCTTCATTTGTTGCTTTGAATTTCCAAATTCTAAAAAAAAAAACTTGATAATGTATATAAGGAAGGCAAGGTAAGATTTCTAGATAGGAACTGGTATTACATAGATATAGACATGTAATATAATAAATTGTTTACATAAAAATCACCTGTATCTAGAAAGAGCAGCATTGTTTGAGCAGCAACAGAAGTGTTGTAGGTTTAGGTCTTTCATACAGTATGTTATCCTTGTAGCCTAGATTTACAGTAGGCACTTTACCCACGTTTCATCCAAATCTACAAATAGGTAGATTTGGTCAGAATTGCTCATGGTAAACCTTCAAAGGGCTAGGTTCTCATCTGGAAGAGAGTCGTGTAATCCCAATCCTCTCACTACAGAAAGTAGAATAAACCCTGGCTTGATGAGCCTCTAGGCTTAAATGTGGACTTTTTGCATATGATAAAACAGCATTGTCAGGCTACTTTCTACTGTCTAGTTCATATTATTCTCAACATTATAATAATAATTATACTTGCTAACACTTCTATAGTGCATTTCTGGACAGGTAATGGTGCTTTACAGGTAATGGGGACTCCCCTCCACCACCACCACCAATGTGCAGCATCCACCTGGATGATGCGACGGCAGCCATAGCGCGCCAGAACACTCACCGCACATCAGCTATCAGTGGGGAGGAGAGCAGAGTAATGAAGCCAATTTATAGATGAGGATTATTAGGAGGCCATGATTGGTAAGGGTCAATGGGAAATTTGGCAGGCATGCCAGGGTTACACCCCTACTCTTTTCGAGAAACACCCTGGGATTTTTATTGACCACAGAGAGTCAGGACCTCAGTTTTTAATCTCATCTGAAGGATGGCGCCATTTTACAGTCTAGTGTCCCCGTCACTATACTGGGGCATTAGGACCCACATGGACCACAGGGTGAGTGCCCCCTGCTGGCCCCACTAACACCTCTTCCAGCAGCAACCGTAGCTTTTCCCAGGAGGTCACCCATCCAGGTACTGACCAGGCTCACACCTGCTTAGCTTCCGTTTGTTGCCAGTTGTGAGTTGCAGAGTGATATGGCTGCTGGCCATATAAACTGTGATGTGATGGAAACACAAAATAATATATTCAGTGTCACAAAACAACGTACATGTGCATAGAAATTAGTTTGCATTGTTGTCAAAACCAAAAACGGGAGTTTGGTGAACATTTACGGTATTTGTGGCCAACTGTGTTGTTTGTCAGTGGTCCTGATCAAACCAAACTGAACCTAACAGACATGTTACAGATGGGGAAAGATCAGATTTAGCTACAGTACATGTTATATTTTATATCCAATACTTGCTTCACACATCAAATAAAACAATATGCACAATTTTTAACCTTCAGCTTTTGCTTCCATGTGTGTTTTGTCAAAATAGTTCCTAGAGGTCCTCATCATTTTTTCTTACTCCCTGACCTTTACTGCCTCAGTTCTGCTTTTCTGTTGTATTTACTTGGAGGTCTGACAGAACTAGCGGTCCTTTTTAAAATTCACCAGCAAGTTGAAACAATTGAATTTTCCCACTGACAATGGCCCAATACATTGCTGTCCTTCTTTGTACATTGAAAACGCATGGCATTTTTTATTTTTGATTCAGTAACAGTAAGCCAGACCCCTGAAACAGCACGTTATACAAATCTATTAATTAACTCAAAGGGATATTAGTGGATGTTAAGGTAAATAAATAAGAAACATGGTCACAGAATAATGCTTTATATGCATGATACCTAGTGATCTATAGTGTCTGCTAGAGGAATAATAATAAGACATGATTTTGAGGACAGCCAGACCAACCAAGAGCAGAGAATTGGCCTGGCTTGATTTTTAGGATGAAAACAATCCCTGAATTATTACAATAGTATCTAACAACTCATGGTACTAGGAGAATTGGTCATATAATAAAAATGGAAACAAAATATTTTCCATATACAATTACTGAAGTATACTGTACTGTATATGCTGTTAAATCACCTTTGTGAATTTGTGAATGTACAGGCAAAAAAAAACTTTCCATACATTTTCACCTCTCCTTTGTAACATCTGGTGTGTTAGACATTCTGCCCCTTGTCTGTTACAGCAGTACATCACTTGTATGAGAAAGAAAGTACTTGTCATGAGATGAAAAACCACACCCAGTGTGTTCCAACTTACAACACACTTTGGAAGAAAAGTATATCCTTTTAAGATAGAATACTAAAGAACTCTGAATGTGGGTGACTGGGGCTCTTTTATACGTTTTGGAATACATATTATTTAGAGTGTGTTAAGTGTGAAATAGGGTTTACCTGTAAACGATACATAATTTTAATCAATATGAAATGTATGTGTTTTTAAAGTAAGTCAGTACGTACAGTCTGATATTTATATGACCAAATACTGTAGGTTTCTAAAAGTTTGCCTGGCTACCTCATGAACACATACTGATTTTTACCACAAACAAAATTTGAACAAAATTGAAATATCAGCAGCTCTGATGACAAATCTGATGCCGATAGCTATTTATTCTTACATGTAGATCACTGAAAGGAAAATTATCAAGAGGAACCAAGTCTCCCTAGTTGGTGGCTCATTAAGAATGAATTAAAATAATTCACACTGGTACAGTTTATGGAATAACATAGTGAGTTAATATATCTACTTTAAGTGAACAATGTTTGTGTTTTACATTGTGTTTAATGCATGAAGTAATTTTCTTTTCCAACATCCTTAACATGAAAGAAGTTCTTTCAAATATTAATGAAATTAATTGAAATGAAGGATTCCTAGACATTACAATAAGCAACCTGCTTCTTGACTCATACTGTACACTGATCTGGAAACCAGTTTTAAGCATTTTCATGTCTCATTTATCTATGTGATTAATTATAGATAGCAGGAACATTTAAGGGCAGGAAGCTTTTTTAAATGGTTAGCAGATGTTGTGTAAGAGTGCAAAACTTAACAGTCTTATGTGCTATGTTTTTATTTTGCATTTTTTCTCCCTCATCAAGTGTGACATTTCATATCTGCTGCATCCTTTATTTTGCCTATCAGATCATTTGCATTTATGCAAAATAGCATTAGCTGCGCAACGACATTTTGAATGAATTCTAATGAATGACCTTACAAGTGCCTTTAAAGATGCTTTGGCATCCGTCTTGATCAAGCTGAATAAAGCAGTTCCTTGTCAGTGAAAAACATCTCTCTTGTCCAAAAAAGTAGTCAATATATAACACATTTCACGTTTCAGGATTCTCTATTTTCTAAAGTGTGATCCATTTATTTAGCTAATAAAAGCTAACCTTCATTTCTTTCTTACCTGCTTTTCTCCACTGGGTTTCTTATGGTTAAGCAGTAGTTCCACAGCCCCAACTACTTCCTTCCGAATGGCATGGAGAAGAGCATCTCCAACATACACATTGAAGCTCAGCAGGAGCTCAATGATCTCAAGGTTCTCGTTTTCGATGGCTATGAGCAAAGCTGTTCTGCCAAGAGGATCAATGCAGTTAATATTGATTTTGAAATAGATTTCAGCCTCCTCTAGTGCCTGCTTCACACTGGCATAGTCCCCCTTCTCTACAGCACTAAGGTAGGCTTTCTCCGCAGGGGAGAGCTCAGACTCGGCTCGCACTATCCGGAGAGGAATACGGTCTCTGTAGGAAGAATTGTCCGTCCTTTTGTAATACAGCTGAGCCATCGTTCATGCCATCTCACACAGGTTCTGCAAGGAAGAAGCAAACATGAAGACGCTGAGTCTGAGCCATGGAGATTATTCTGTTAGCTCCTCTGATGTCTTCCTCTTTGATGCAGCAGTAACACTATCACTTCAAAGGAAAGATTAGAATATGTTTTATACAACTCTCTAAACCCAGCAAAAGTCCCTGAAGGGCAATTACTTCAGAAAGCCAATAGCAGCTGATTATGAAGTGAAATCAGAGGAAGGTAGGGCACATACTGTACAGTATCTGTTTCCAGTCTAACAGAGGCTGTCCTACGGAATACATGAGAACAGATGATATACATTATTCAACACATTGATAAGGCCTCTGATTACTTCATACATTCATTTTAAGTCAGCATACAGTATATACATAATCTTCCAAGATATGTTCATTGTGGGTTATTTGTTGCAGATGATTGGCATATAAAAGGGAGGTGTTAAGCATAATTCAAAGCTCCTCAGCTCATACACAACAAAGCGCAAAAGTCACAGTACAATGCTGTTCTTCAGTAAGCTGCTGTATGTTACTGTGCTGTTCTACAACAATCCACCCAACTTCTGTTGTTAAACAGGTGCTCAAGGTGGTCTGATCAGACAGAAGAGCCTGTTTTGCTCATTAATTTTATCATAGAATTTAACGTAGTGTGACAGCATTCAATCCTCAATCATTTATTTACAGATATACAGTATCACCATCACCAGTTCATCAGTTCATCTGATGTGTATAGATGCAAGACTATGCATTTTGGGAAGCTCACAAGAAACAACCGGGCTCAGAGAACAAAATAAAATGCAAGGTGTTCTGATGACCTAACAAAAAAAATATCGATATCAGTAAAAAAAATATTATTTTTAAGAATATCATGAAGAAGGAGAATTTGCTAGGTTTTACTGTATAACAGCATTTTTAAGCTAACAGGCACAATCAGCTTTATTTCTATGCTTTTCTTCTCAAAATATAATTTAAGTCTAGGTTAAATTAATAAAAATTTAAATATTTTAAGAATAAAAAGTCTATAGTCCCTAAAAAATCTGTATCCCTACAGTACATGTCTTTGATTTACAATTCTCTATGTAAAGTATGGAAGCAGTTTTTACTGCTTATGTTCCCTGATTTTAAGACAAGCATGTAGTTGTCTTTCTTGCCTAAAGCATTTTTTGTATTTAGTGACGCAAGCTGTTTACTCCTTGTAAAAGAATATGCAAATGTTAACTTCTTGACAAATTCTAGATACACTGATCAAATGTCTTGCAGTGAGTTGTAGTGCATAATAATAGAGTAAATGAAAGCTCAATTCTAAATTATCAACTTACAGTAGCTGAATGTACTTTTAATAAAACTTGGAGAACATCAAAGCCCCAACTAAAAGTCCTGAGAATGAGTTTTATTCTACACTTCTTGTCTACTCATGATTGGAAGTGGAAAACACTACCAAAGTCTGCAAGTCTTGTTTTGTTTTGATAATGGACAACTAAAAAGCACTCTTCTACTTCTTTAGAGTGTTTGATTGGGATCAACTTTGTGAAGAAATATCAGACCAACTGTGTGGACTTCAAAAATTACCAACCTTGTTCCCTTCTGGTAGCTCCTTCACAGCCAGACAATTTTCACTTTGTTATCAATAAGTCAGTTTGTAAGACAAAGTCAGAATAGCTCTGTTTTTGACCTACTGTACAGTAATACTGCATAGGAAAAACTATATGTTCCCAGTATTTCCACTCACACAGGGAACTGTCCCCACACATGACTTCCATTTGTCTGATTATTTAATATAGTTCTGGTAATAGAATAAAGTGGTATAGGTGGTTTTTGGTTTGTCTGCATTTTCAAGCTGCTTTCAGTATTTTTTTCATAGGAAAGAAACTGGACACAAAGATGAATACATCTAATGTCTTTACAATATGTTTAAATGACAAATCTGTAAACTGTCTCTGCACAGAATGTAGCAGGTTCTCCCACTGAAAGCAGTTTTCCTATTAGTTGATTAATAGTGTCCACAACATGTTTATATTTAATTGTAAATATAGAGTTCTTTGGTAAGTACTGCGTAGAGTAACAGTGTTTTAACCATATAAATCCAGGAATGGCTTCGTTATATTAATTCCAAATTTCTCATCCAATTGTGATGCAGTACAGTAACCCTTTTTAACAGAATAATAAAAATAACAACAAACGATAATGATAAAACAACAACTCTTCCAGTAAACGACAAGTAAAGCTTGATTTATTTTTTCAGTTTATCTAGCAAAAATGTAAAATTCTTCAATTTGTCTAATTTTCCTCCCACCTCAGCGCTCCCCGTGTTTAGCCTTAATCGTATGTAAATAATTACAATGATATATTATTATATTATTTTACCACTATTGAATATTTTTAGGTTACGATTAACGATACTGTAGTGTCGAACTAACAGCTAAACATTAAAAACGATGTTCTCTTTGGATTTACAGGTTTTCTAAAGTATGTTTATGAATGCAAATGCAATAGGTTGGCTTGTATTTGTCTTAGCCCAGATGCAAATACTATAATTTCTGCAGGAATACGGCTCTTTTCACACTCAAATCTAATCCAAATCTTTCGAAACGACGGTACTTTATACGAAATCGAGTAGTCCCTTTTTATGCATCTTAGCTTACTCTTAAGGTCATTACCAAAATGTACATACTGTATCAGACCAAGATGAAGACAAGAAATCCTGCAGGTGGCGAACTTCACAGAACAGGAGATAGATGTGTATTGATAGAAAACAACTATTTTTTTTTCCATAGAAAATAATAAAAATGTAATTTGGCTGGATTCAGGTCTTTAAAGGTTGAGTCCAAAAACAGGTTTTAAAAAGGACAAGCTACTTTAAAAGTGCATGGCATGCCATTAACCTTAATTTTTAAACATAACTTACCTCTTGGTGAATCTGCTGAGGCTTCCGAGGAAATATTTTTAAAGGTAATTTTGAGTTGTTTTTTCCAATGAAATGCGCAACGGGCACTCGTAAAGTGAAATAAGAATTAACATTCAGGAAAATCCTTCACAGGATGAAATCAGTGTTTTCCAAATAATTTATCGTAATATACACCATTATTGTTCTTTTTTTGATTTGGGGAAACAATTAAGATGTCTAACAATTAGCTCCCTGCAATAGTTCTCGTTTTTATCGTGCAACAGATGACAGGCTTCAAAAGATGCTTTCCTTTTTTCCAGTTCGTTCCCATTATCTCCTTAAGCAGTCCACTTAGAGCGCAACACAATTTTTAGGTTACTGGTTTATAAGGAAAATTGAATGAAAACGTGAAACAAAACATAAATTAAGTTTAGTAAGACGTATCTGCAGATAAATCGTTTGCTGTGTTTCACTCATTTTTTGAACAGAGAAAGACAGTAGCCTCAATACCCTTAAGATGCGCACTGACAGTCCGCGTTATTTCCATTTCGGTTTTTAAGCTGTTTCTCTCTGCTTCGTTTAGTCTCGGCTCTCTCACTAAGTGTGAAGATGGGACAGAATGCGCATATGCTGTGTACCTGAAGAGGGAAGCCGCTGGTCGAATTGAAAGAAGGTTACGGAGGTCTTTCAACTGCGGTGTTTTGCATCAGGTCGGATTCCCCTTCTCCGCGTTTGCTATATAAGTCGATAGGTCTTAAAATAAACCGAATTCCTTTTCTGCTAAAGGGAGCGTTCCAGTTTAAATAAACGAAGCCTCTGGTATACAAATATCATCAGAATAGCAAATCGCACGTCAGTATATTCCCTGCTTATGAATAAAAGACGTACAGTATATATCATATCTTAATGCCTGTAGGTGGTCTATAAAACTGTTATGCTCTTAAATTGCATATATTTTACATGCATTATAGTTTGATTAAGTGTGCTTATAGGTTTCTTTATAAGGTTTTCCCCACCTCCTACGCTTTTTTAAGGACGCGTGCTTCTAGTTAAACGGATTGACAGTTTATAGGTTGATATTGCATTTAATTGGTTCAAATGATCTTTTAAAATAAACCATATAAGTAGTCCTGACTGAAACATCACCGCCATTTTTCTTCCTTATGTTAATTGCTGTTCTTCAATAACGCGAATAAATAATTTATTAATAGTTAAAAATATAAAAAAAACTTCTTTACAAGGATGGATTTGTACATCTGAAATAACAGTCATTTGAATGTCGAGAATATTAGTCTTTCTTCTCGTGGTCTTTACCATAAAATCAATTTAAAACCTCATTGTACAAATGATGCCACTACACTGGAGTCCCAGGCAGATCTTTTTATATATGGAAAGGCACTCATCAATTTAGAGGATTCCATACTTGCAAATGTTGGTACATTGTAAAAATCAAACATCAATGACTGATTTTAGTGTGTTGGTATTGCAATATTATAATGTAAACCACACAAAATTTGAGTAAGAATGTCTTAATTACACTGTTACCCACTATTGAAGGATGATAGAGGTGCAATGTGAGATGAAAAGGGCTATAGTAAAACCATGCTTTATGTTGCTTCCACAGTTTAGACCCTATGCAGTTAATAAAGTCTTTCTAATCCCAGCACTATGGCTGAATAGCTAGCTTTTTGAACTGCTAAAAGAGAACACCTGGAGCCCCAGTACTGTTAATAGGGTTCCCAGATCTGTGTAGTATCATAATAGGAGCTCCTAGGCCCCTTTATGTAGAAATGTTATTTCTGTTCTGTGAATAGATTCCCCAAGTACCTTTATTATACATGAAAGGGCATCAAAATAATTTATGGCTTCAACCATAAATGTAGATAGCAAATGAAAAAAGCAGAAATGATTGTGTTCAAAACAAATTCCATTTTAAAATAAACCTCATATCGCCAGTTGTTCGTCAGCTCAGCTTGGTTGCTGTGGTCTTTTCACCAGGAGAGCTGAGGACAATGTGCACTTAAAAATGTGTTCAATTGAACCATCCTGCTCCTCTCAGTCTGCAAAACCCACCATCTCACAGGCTCACAAGCCCCCGGGCAATTCCAGGGACACTGCTGCACGGCAAGTCAAGGACAGTTCGAACTGATTCAAGTCTGTCCAGTCCTAGTGCTATCGGGACACTTGTGCTCAATTTTCAATTTTCAATTTTCAATTTTATATAATAATGAGGTATTGCTAATGGGCTCAGACTTAAAGAATACAAAATCTGCACCCCCACTTATGATCACAGCCATTTTTCAAAAGACTGTTCAGTGGCATCTGCATGTTCAGTCCTGATTTCGACATAGATGTACAGTAGTGATCAATATGTGTGTGAAAAATTGCTTTCCATGACCACCAAAATGAAAAAAAAAAATTGAGATGTACACATGCTTGAAACAATAATGTCATGTACTTTATCTTCCTTCCAGAAGTACTGGCTTGGTAATGTGGCAAGAGCAACTGACCTATCATCCACTATCATGCAGAGGCTTATCAAAAAAGAGGAGCAGAGGTCACCCAGGAATAACCTGGCACAAATTCATTCAAACCCAGATGAAGAATTCACAGGCAATTAGCTAAATGCAGCTAAGTCTATGTAGTATATAGAAAAATCACAACTTAGAAAGTATACTATTAATGAACTTACAGTATACTGTATATTAGAATCCTGAATTAGATTGAATACTCATTATATATAATTGTAAAAACACCAGTGACAGCAAGCTACTGTATTTTATATTTCACAATCCTGTGAAAATGATGATTGCATCGTTTACACACCTCTATCAACACACACAAACACTTTCAATTTCATCACTGATAGACCAAAGGAAAAAACAAGGTACTTTAAAAAAAAGTGATACATTATTTCTTGTACATTTACAGGTTTCCCTAAGTTTTCAGTGACACTAAAAAATTCCTGAAATATAAGGAACTCATTATATACTGTAGCAGTGTAGAAGGTTTTATACTGTATATACTGTATATCATCTTTTTGCAGATTTTTAGTGTGACTACAACCCTGGAATGCTTTATATCCAGTTGTACAAACTAAAGCTTTCTGTTCAAACCAAACCATCTGTGTTCTGCAATAATTTAAGTCTTGCTAAATAAATGATAACTCTCTGATTTTGTTAAAAATGGATTAAGAACATTTCTATAATTCATTTCAAACAAAGTGTGGTTTATACAGGGTGGTACTGTAAGTATAAAACCCATTCAATTATTACACAAGCTGTAGCAGGAATAACCTTTATTTAAATGACTGTCAGAAGCATACATTACTTTAATCTATGCAATTTGAATAATTATCACCACTGCACTTAATTCACACATGTTTTTTGTAAGTGTATGCTTACACTGAACATTATTCTGACACACAGTATCCCTACTGTATTTGACTACAGCTACAATAAGGCTTCTAAATTGGAAAGTTTATGAACTGGCTCTAATTATTGTAAGCAGTAGTGTAAATAAATGCTTAACAGACCCTGGGTTTAATGCAGAACACATTTTATTGTTTTCTAAAAATAACCCATCATTTCAAGACAAGAAAAAGGACACGAAAAAGGTTTTTTTTCCACACAAAATCCCCCTTTTCCACACAAAAAAGGGGTGTAACATTCATGTAATCTTTTTTCTTCAGATGGCTGTCTCTAAGTGATCTTGAAACATGGTCTAGCACCAAAATCTTCTTATGATAATTTTCAGCATTTAATATTAAAGCTTGAATCGTGATAACATTGGTAGGAATTAACACTTTTTTGGCCTATAAAGTAATTTTAGATCTACCAAAGACACTGCTATATTGGTTTGTTAATAATTTAAAAACACTGCAGATGCACCAAAGTTAAATCACATTTTCATCATTATGACACCTCATTAATTCCTGTTATATATGCTATGATAAAATTTATATTTTAGGTCGTGATCAACATGCTCTAAGATTTTCCACCTATCAAGGAGATCTTTTGTTCTCTGTGTGATTTCCAGCAAAAAGAGATTTTTTGATTACGAGCTTGGATAATGTGAAAAAATGCTGTTACAAAGGAAATGGCACATAGGTAATGTGTTGGGAGCTAAATATGTCAAGTCATAGATATCTCATAACTTAATCCCTCGCTGATTAGAAAACAGATATCTATGTAGGTGTGAGAAAATATGTCTGAGTGATATGTGAGGAAGGAAGGGCACAGGAGAGAAAGGTTCATGCCTTTGAGAAACTTAGAATGTAGATAATTCAAAATAACAGACATTGCCATAGTGCAGTTCTCACCATGAGATTCCTGTCACCTCTGCTTAGTCACCAGTTAAGGAGATGAAGAATACATTCTTCCCTTCTCTCATTTCCTTGATTTGAAAGAGTCTCAATTTCAACTCTGTTGGCTCTCTGAATTGTATTCATGCAATCACCCATTCCATTCATTTGGAGAAGATGGTGAGACTTTCTGCGTGATGCCCTTTTTGGATTTTTTTTTTCACTTCTGCGAAGACATTTTCAGCAAAATCTAGAAACATAATTTACACCCCCCCAAACAGAACTGTGTTGGTTTTCTTCATGCTCTGGGTAAAATAGTGCTTAATGGTATAGCTTATATGTTCCCGAGGCAACCGTTATCTGGAGATGAAGCAGAGTAGTTATTTAAATCTCCATTTGTTTCAATCTGTGTGCCTCAGTTAATTATAATTGACTGAATGTTATCCTTGGAGCTCTGAAGGATCGGCAGGCACAACAGTTTCCTTGTTCCGCACAAATTTTTTTTTTATCCATTTGTAGAAAATCCTCATGGATTACTGCAAAGAAACAGTTGAATCTGTAAAAGAAATGTCATTATCCTCATTTATTTATTAATGTTTTTGCACTTCATTCAAATTCTCCAAATCCCATTGTTATCTTTATATTTAACAATGCGTCTTGTGAGGGGATTAGAAATGGACTAACGCTAAGGACTGAACCATTATTGCAGTGTTGTATTTCTTTATAATGTAGATTGGATTATATTCAAATACAGCAAGCGTGCTAGAGAAGGCACCATTGCTTTTTTTGTCTTTTAACTATGAAGCAATTCATATAGTTGATTCCAATTCTAAATTCTATGCTAACCAATATATTTTTCTTATTTGAAAAAAAGCTGAAAGTTCTACAGCAGGTTAATGGTAGTGTAATCCAAGTGTTTCTAGTTGTCTGTGTACATCTAATGATGAAAAGCTCGAGGCAAACTTGTAGTTTTTATCACAGCTCAGGCCTACAGGACATCCAATGACATTCAATCACATTACCCTCTTCTTGAACCTCTTGTTTTTTCTCTTTCAAGGTGTTTTGTTTTTTGCCCAGAAAACATTTATTGTAGCCTGCATTATTTCAAATAAATATTCACATTTTCAGCTACTAAAATCTCTGCTTTGTACTGTTTGCTTGAATCCTTCATTTGAAGTACAAAGCCTCAGTAAAAATACAATTGTTTAGCACAATACATAAGAGCAAGCATTATCATTAATAAAAAATGTGTTTTCAGAGTGATGTAAGTAAAAAGTCCAAGTTTATTCAGAATGCAGCACAAAAAACAGATATAAAGATTGAACCTAGACACTTGTTAAACATGTCTTTCTGAAGATATGCTCCTTAAATAGAAATATTGCATATGACAGGCCCTAAAACAGCTCCTGCAAGATTACTGGGATGGATTAAATAATTTAATTCTATTGCTGCTATTTGCAGTCACTCTCTAAATTCCACACGTGCTCCAACCATTATATCCTTCCGAAATTTCTCATTGAATTTATGAATAAACGGTTTAAAATACTGCCATTCTAAATTTTAACAAGAGGACCACTTCATGAGAACTAATTCCACAGAAAAGTCACAAAACACAAAAAAAGAAAATTTCCATAAAAAACAG